ACATCACAGTTCACAATATAAGATACTGGATGTTACAAATTAGAATTATATCTGTTGGTATACACTTAAATGTTTAATAACAAGGTGTAACCTAGATAAATTAGATTTTGTTTTGCTGAGCTACAGTGCAGGCCAAAATATTTCAAATATATAAAAAAACATTAAGGGCATACAAATCAACCTTGTGAGAAAAAAATAAACAAGTACACAAAGTTGGTATTCAAAACTTCAGCAACCTTCCTTGGACTATTATTGCAACAGTAGTGGAGGGCATAAATGTCTCATTTTCTCCTCAAAAATAGCTTCTTTAGTAAAATCTCAAATGTACAATTCAGAAAGTGAACTGCTACCTATGATGGATAAGACATTTTTATAAGTGTTGTTACTTCCTTTTGGAACCCAAGTTAACCTCTACCAGCTAGAACAGATGTAAATTAAGGACAACTACAATTCTCAAAATGGTTCTTCATGCTAGCCAGTAGGACTTCTGCAAAAGCACTATTGATCCTCATGAGTCTAAAGGAAATATGAGATTATGATTTTTATTTCTTTAAGATTTATAAACATAATATTCATTATTTTAATAGCCTATATACATGTTTTATATTGTTAATAAAAATATGCAAAAGTAGGTATGAGATATTTTTTATATAAACCATTAATTTTGTAATCCACTGAAATACTAACATTTGTTTGCTGAAAATATAAAAAAATATTAAATTTTATTGAAAAGTGAAGAATAGTATTGGAATTTTAAACATTTTATTTTCATAATTTCAAACTTTACTAAGCTATTAAGTTCTAAATTTCACAACTACTGTTTATATTATTTACTTCACAGGGCTTAACTTAATCCACTAAAATACTAACATTTGTTTGCTGAAAATACAAAAAAAATATTAAATTTTATTGAAAAGTGAAGAATAGTATTGCAATTTTAAACATTTTATTTTCATAATTTCAACTTTACTAAGCCATTAAGTTCTAAATTTCACAACTACTGTTTATATTTACTTCACAGGGCTTAACTTACAGTTTATTTGTATCTTAGTTTCAATTCCTTCAAGATAGATAAATTATCCATTTAGTTAAATATTTCAAAGATGGGACATACCTAAACAGCTAATTTCTACGATATGTGTACTAATAGTAATGCACAGTTTTGCATTTGCCACTCATTATTTTGCTAAAATTGATGGAGCTCTGATAAAGTTTTAATTATTTGAAAAAATAACTGTATTTTTTGTTGTTGTTCAAGAAAATAATATATATTACCTCCTTCTCAACAACTGACATATCAATTGATCCATTATAGAAGGTTGTAAGGCATCATTACGCTTACTTAATGGCCCCCAATTATTCCTTTCCCATGTCTTCACCTATATGTTTTATGAACTCTCAACAATTGACTGTATTTATTTGTGTATTTCTAATTGAACAGAAATTAGAAATTTAGAAAAATATTTTTTTGCCTTAAGCATGTGAAATATCAATTAGTTTTTAAAAGAAACTCTTTCTCTGGAATTTGAAATATTCAAATTTCATTCAATAGGTATTGTACAGTATGAAGTTTTTTCAGAGCTGAAAGCTTCATATCAATATTAACAGGCTTCATAATCATGCCTTTTTTAATGTTTCACACAACTATCTTTTTACAGTGCTCTTTCTCAAATACCCCTAGTAAAAGAAACATTGTAATTCAAAAGTCAAATCTGTTTTTCCATTTTGAAACAAAAAATTCTATAAATTAAATCCACAATTATTCACTCACTTATTTCAAAACTAAGTCATTACTTTACAGACCAAGACCTTTGATCCAGTTCTGTGCAGTAATGCCACTTAAATCTGTCATTTCATCAACTATCAAGTGTTTTATTGACTTACTGTAGATAACACTTTTAGATTAGGTATTTTGCAACTCTAGCACAACTGCAAGGGGACATTCTACACTAAGAATCATTAAAAAAGAAGTGTTGACTGCTACACGAAAAAAGAACAAGAAATTAGATATCTCCTTTCTCCAAAAAAGTATAAAATAAATAAAGTTTGTTTATTCTGCATTATGACCAGTGTCATAGTAGATGATGTACAAAGAGATACTGAGGATGGTTTTTAAGATAGATTTTTATTCACAAGAAGTAATAAAATGTTAAATAATAGCATGTATAGTAAAAATACTTTAGTGTGGATATTGTTACACATTTGTTAAGCAAATGATAAAGGTGTAAGAAGTAAGTAGAATTTGACTGTAGCACTTAGTAAAATGAAAATGCTACATTGATCCAGAGTAGAGATTGGTGCAGGGCTATTGAATTAAACAATAACAACTGTGGATTTAGTGGTTAAACACCTTAGAAACTGCAAAATTTTTGTGAGAAAAGGCAAGTTACTTCAGACACAACTGTACCAAATCTCTATAAAAAAAACACTTTTTAAAAGTATTCCATGGAATTTTCAATCCTCAGTATATAGACTTCATTAAAAAATATACTAGAAATTATTTTCCATAAGAAAAATAAGTGATACATTAATACTGATAAATATTACATATATTTAAGTCAGTAAAAAAAAAAAAAACACACTTAAGGTCTAAAGTGTTTGTAGAATATTTTGTAGTATCATTAGAAACTAGCAATTCAACATTTAATTTACTTTAATTTAAGTAAGAAGAAAATTATGTTACCAATATTAAATTACAAAGAAGATTAAAAACAGCACTTTTCAAGCTCCTGGTGCAATCCACCCAGCACCGCAATTCAAGACAGAGACCTCTACATGCACAACAGTACCAACTATTCTCTATGATCCAAGCCATGCAGATCAAACACTAATGAAAGTATATTACCCACCATCTTTTCTATCATTCGTTGTACTCCACTTGCCTGAATCATACTGGTCCACTTGGATGGAGCGAGTGCGTTTGATGATTCCACTAATACCTGAATGACGGGAACGATTCATACTCAACTTTCTCTTAGGGCGACCCTTTTGGAATGATGGTCGGTTAAGTGGCCTGTGAAGCTCATGCTCCAAGTATTCCTTCACCATGAAGTGCAAACCTAAAGAAATCCACCAAAAATACTGGGAAAACAGACTTACCATTATTACTTACTAATTAGCTGATGTACCCATTAAATGAATAGGGAAGATATAGTGACCCCCAAGAGGTGGCATAAGGAGGATCAGATCCAAACACTGAATTCCCTCTAACACCCCCTGAAGAGTGCATGCTAATTTTGGTTGAGATCCGTCAAACACTGACAATGTGAAAGATGGACACACAAATAAACAAGAGCTGCCTAGGAATGGGAGGCATCCAAATTGTGACTTCCTTCTGTCACTCCCTGGGTGTGTGTGTCAAGTTTGGTTGAGATCCGTCAAAAACTATAAACATGAAAGGCAGACCCCTAGTGATCATACAGGAATTTAAATGGGGGATTAGAACAAAAGCTTATCCATATGACACTACTTGGGGGTTGGGGGATCCTACTAAAGAGTATATGACAAGATAGGTTGAGGTGTGAAAGGTGGGGATATAGATAACACTTCTATTCTAAACAAAGAATATAAAATAAATATCATGCCCTTAAAAATATACCTGTTAATAAGTAAGACAGACACCAGTAATTACAAACAAAGCATACTAAAATGTGTCAAGTGATATGTATGCACATATACAATTTAAACAAATGGCTAATACAACTCCAACTTCAGAAATGCCTTACACAAACAAATGTTTTACACTGATCATGTTGTGAATTCTGTTATTTAGTAGAATCTCTTGGGGAATATGGCTTTTATATTAGTTATATTTGCTTCTTTGGGCTTGAATCAGCAACCAAAATACCATTCTAACATGCTTCTATATAGTACTGTTCATTCAGCAAAGTGGAACTAACGTATTTATATGTGAGGATCAGCCTTTTATAATTATTCAAAGCATTTCTTACTGTCAGGATCTCCTTCCTCTTGATTACCCAGAAAGCTTAAACTGGTGATGCAGGATGTGCTGAGAAATTCTTCAAGTGTTCCCACAGATACCCTACACAAATCACAGAGAGCACAATTCAATAAACAAAATTCTATTCTTTCTTTACATAGTTGATATTCATTTTGTACAACTAAAGTTTTTTAAACACCCTGTTCATGTGAAATATAACATCCATCATGCACATATTTCTGCTAAAAAAAGAGCAATGAAAAGAAGTGCTCTTTACAGTTTTGTATATTGTTTATCAAATAAATCTACTGTGTAAAGATTAAAATATGTTATGACTAGCAGTCCAACTCTGCCTGCACTGTATATATATATATATAAGCTTACTTATTAAACTCTTTCCCACACATTTGAAAACCTTAAAATTATACCAAATTTAGTAAAATAAAGAAAAAACAACATAACACATGAACAAAATAATAATTTGTAAGTGATATATTAGGGATTCCCAAACTGGGATCTCTGGATTCATGATGGGGAGGGGTCTTGCAATATGGTTTCAGGTGAACCACAGAATACACAGAAAGAATTCCTCTAACGTGGCTAACATATAAAAGTGCTAAGTTAAAGTATGTATCATTATAACAGAAAAAAATGGGTGATCTTAAGGATAATAAAATGGGTACTGGTAACGTAAATGAAAATAAGTTTTTTACATAGAAAAAAGTCTGTTTATAATTCTACATAATAATTTACCTACATTATGAGTCTTAAACAACAATAGTTCTCTCTGATGTGTGATATTACATCATTTGTAACCAACTGAAAGCCAAAGTTTTAATCTATAAAATGACATATTACATTGTCTATTTCACTTTCACTTCAAACTTCATTCCCATGGGAAACACAGCAATAAGCTTAGCTGAATTTTAAACGGCTATTGTTGCATAGTTAGAAAGCCAGAAGAACTGTGACACTTGTAGGATATTGTCTGCTTTTTAAGTGTTATTATTCTGTGTCTTTTGTGCATTATTTAATTAAGTAAAAATTACTTAGTGCAATAGTACCATTAATATAAAAAAGTAGGTTTAAGTTCCATCAACAGTCAACAGCAAACAAAAGAAGACCCAGATAAGTATATATTTTTTTTTCCAAGGGTATTCTTTATTTATTATAATAAAACTAAGTAAAGTATAAAAATTTGAAACTTTTTGGTTAGATAAGGTTATTAAAAAAATAATAATATTAATTTTTCCCGGGGTATGCTCATGAGCAACTCTTAAGTAGCCCGTGTGTTACTGTAATTCAATAAGGTAATGTGAGCTACACATTTGCCATGTGAAATACAACTTGTGTGGCAGGAATATTAGTAAAACATGGTTCAGAGGCCAATAAAACAATACAATTTTAGTATAAACAGCTGTATACTGTTAAAAGTTTAAAGCTACTTAGAAGAAACAAATATAGTTTCATGTTACACTTTGAAGTATTTCTAGAAAGGAAAAAAGGTAATTTAGATTTACTTCAATTTATTTTGGTAGTTACGAGGTCAGTGAATTTGACTGACTTCATATAGAGTTAGAGTAGAGAAAGTAACAGATAAAATAAGTTTTACTGGAAAAATCATCTGAAATATATTTAGGAAGTTTCAGAGATTATGCAAATGAAATTTGACAATTTTCAGATGAAGCAAAGTATTTTTAATCTTAACATGAATATCACTTTGCACTCGGAGCAGTCAATACTTTGACTCCATATTTTCATGGAGAAATTTTTTGGGAAAATACATTATTAAAAATTATGATATTTTGTCTATAAAAGTTTCTTAATGCTTACTAAAAGCTTGCAAAATTTTGTGAAGATACATAAAACATATTAGAATATGATTGATATGTGCTACCACCATAGAATTGTTGGAATGAATCATCACCAGATAATGTCTGGCGAGAGGAAAGAAGTGATTCAAAGCCCGATGGACTGCAAGAAGCTTGAGGATGTTGATATGCAAAGATCTTTTGTCTACAGACCAATGACCCAAAGCTTCCTGGTGATTGGTCCATGCACCCCAGCTCTGAAGGGATGCGTCTTTTAAAAGATGTAAATCTGGACGAGGAGGAGGAAGCGAGATGGATGCTGATGTATGGGCCTTGTTCAACCACCAATGCAGATCATCAATCAGGGTAGGAAGAAGCAAGGTTCTACTGATTGTGAAGAGCACACTAAAGGAATCGCATATGTGCACGACCGAGGGGGACCAGTGATGTCACTGAAGACAACATCCCCAAAAGCGATAGAGCCATGCAAGCAGAAATGGAGGGAGCTGAAAGAGTGTGGCAGGTGTGACCCACGAAGTGATAACATGAACTTCGAAATTCATAATGACAAGAAGTCAACCAATAATCAAAAGTATAAATAAGAATGCGACTGTAATAAATTGGAATTAAAGTGAAGTTAAGAAACAGTCTGAATAGAAACTAGAAGTGAAAATAAATGAAGACCATTTCTTGAGTATACAAAAGACGATTGTGAAACTTTAAACAAACAAAAAGGTACATGACCAAGCATAAGCACTGCCAAACGAGAAGTGTTAGTTCGGGATAGGCGAAGAAGTGACGCATTATGATTTATATATGAGAGAAATGTTGGAATTATTTGATTCCAATAGGGGGGAGCAGAAGGTTTGCGGCATGAGTAAATAAAACATTTGCATATAGTGGGCAGCACTGGACAAAGTAGCTAATTTTGTGAGAGGAGGGAAGTACTGTATCAGAATTTGTTTTTGCTTCAAGCAGCTAACAATATTTTAAATCTATTTATAGTTTAATTAGAAAGCCAGTTAAATTACAGTAGCTTGTTGACACTCTATTCTAGTGTCTTATGTACTTTTTGTGCTATAAAATGTATATTTGAAAAAACATTAAAGATTTTGTGGAGAATCATCACAGTATGAAAAAGCTAGTGCTAAAGAAGTATGCTCATGAGTACAAATTACTGAAATAAGCTTTAACCCCTAGTCAATTCCAAAACATTTTGTTTTTATGTACATTTTTGTATTTATTTTTACTTTTTTTAACAAAAAACTTGCTACGTTATAAAACAAAAAAGTAAATGAAATAAAATTTAATAATGAAATATCACAAGACCAGTTTGGGCTAGCTGTTTCATGTATTTGTAACCTTGTTGGTTGTTTACACTAAATACTCTTATTGTAGTTAACTGCCTGCCTATCAAACACTTAAAACAGGGCATTGTAAAGTAGTAAAATTAAAAGCAAGAAGATATGAAAAAGTTAGATAGCTGAGGCTGTTGTGATAAATAACTGTTGTTGTTGTTGTCTATTACTATCATTTTACAAAAAAAAAGTATTATTGATTTTACTTCATAATTTCAATTTTTTTCCCTCTGTACAGTGATTATTGTGTGACAGTTACAATTGGGGTATAGAAGATGAAAAGAACCATTTTTATTTTTAAAATCAAGTTTCACCACGAATGACTCAGTAAAACCTTTGCAAATACACACACACATATACATATATTATTTTAAAAAACTGTTTTTTTGTACAACACTTATAATGTTTACTAAAAGCTTACAAATGTGGTGAACATACACTTAATAAATTCGGAAACAAGGTCAGTCCAATGGACCAAAACCATTGATAACGTGTTAAAAACAAAGAACTATTTAAAAACCTTTATATTATATCTGTAATATCAATACTATAATACCAATATTTATTTCATAAAGTCTTAGTTTCTATAAAAAAAAACTTAATTAATATGATTTCCAGTAATATTAGGGTAAAAAGCTTACCTGGTGCCATTTATGTATCCACTTTTCAATTTCTTGATTGTAGATATCATTGCCAGTGGAATTTTATCATTTTCTAAGTGTACATAAAAGTCAGTTTGAGATGCAATGAGTCACAACAATAAAATTTCTAATAATTTGAAATTACAGTAGTATATGAATTGTCTTCTATTACTGTTTAGTGTTTAAATTTCATAAAAAATCAAATATCTGTTATTTTTGCGAACAACAAAAAAGTTACTTGATGTTTATACTTTACACATTGTAGGTCAGATAATCACAAGTGGTTACTTTCATGCTATGACAGAACTATACAGTAACAACACCACACAGTACTGTAAAATGTGGTCATTAAACTATTGTGTCGTGTGGCATTAAACCACACTATAAACATCTCAAGAAACTGCTGAAAAATGTGTTAGCGCATTATTGTTTAACATGTGGTACTAAATCATAATGATCCTTTAATTATAATAAATATATAATGTTCAGTAATAAACATCACAATAGACTGAGGAAAAGTGTATTAGTCTAAGTAATATTGTGTCACTTTAAACCTACTATAATAATCTCAAGATTAATGTAAAATGTCCTTGTTAGACTACTTTTGTGGAATGATAAACAATACAGTAAGCATCTCAAGAGACTGGAGTAAAGTCTATTTGATGAGAATGATGTTATGTCAAATTAAAGACCACAGCAAAGTGTGCTAGTCAGTCTACTTTTAGGGACAATAAACTATGTATTGCAAACCTCTCAAACATGGGTTTAGAGTTGATAGTGAGACTACTTTTATATGATAATAAACCACATATTTTAAATGTCTCAAGACATGGGTGTACAAACTGCTAATAAGCCTATTGTCATGTGATAATAAAACATACATTAAATTCTTTTAAAACACTCGTTTACAGTTCGTTAGTTGAACTACAGTCATTTAGTAATAAACCATGCAGTAAACTTTACAAAACACTGGTTTACCATTTGATAGCCATCCTACTATTGTGTGGTAATAAACCACATATTAAATATCAAACAGCCTATTGAAAAGTTGAGTAGTATATTAAAAATCTGAGAAAAAAATTCTAAAAAGCTGCAAAATTAATTAAATTTATGTAAAAACACTAAATTTTGCTCATTTGTTCTTAAACAGTATACACTTTAAATCCGAATCACTTACCAAAAGATATTAACCCTTTCGAGACGGGTCACAGGGGTAAAGGCCATGTCATCTTGTTTCTTGATGCGCATTCAAAATTTTATTGAACTACTATTTCATGAATTTATGTCAATAACTTTGGTATTAAATTGTAGATTACAATTCAAATTATAGTACTATTTATTACTAAATTTCTTAACTTAAAATCAAATATTAAGAAAACACAGATAAACATTGATTTCTGTGTGTCACGTGGAATGTTGAATACAGCACTGGTTCAAATTATATGTCTGTAAAGTCAAAATACTGTCTATAGTTTCGTACAAATTAGAAACTCAAATTACCAATATTGACAAGTTAGAATATAAAATAAGAGCCTCTTATCTTTTCAATTTGCTAAGTTATTGCTCATGGAATAACTCAAATACAGTGGCACCCCACCCACCTCTTTCCATTTTTGGAAATGCTCTTTTATACATACTTCTATATATGACATGAATAACCAATCGGAAGCTCAAAATGTACCCTAGTGGCTTTCTAAGCAATATTAACGGGCTTGGAAACATTTTTTCTTTTGAACCAATATTTCAAAGAGGTAAGATGTGTCTTTAGTCTGCTCTTATTTACTAAGCTTGATAAATTATAGTGGAATTCTATGGTATTAATGTAGTAATTTATGATTTTTTAGTTATTCAAATGTATATATAAAACCTAAAAAATTATTTTGTTTTATATCCTCCACATGCAATTTTTTTAAAGGCTTAACAACCTATGTCAAACAGCAACTGAGTACAAAGGTCATAACTAGAAGAGATAATTGTTTGCTTTACTTCTCTTGTTACTGTTCTATGTTTTAATAAAAATAAGTTTAAGAACTTATTTCAAAATAGCATCAATCTATATACATATATAATGTATAATAATTGAAACGTCACTGTATTTTACAAAATACTAGTCTACTAAAACACAGCCAAGACAAATTTCTTTGTATAGACCAAAGGTCAGTTTTATGTTATTTGATAGGGTAACATGAGTGCATGTGAGCCACATCATCGTAACTTCTGTATCGTTAGCCAGGCACGGGTGAAAGGTCAATATAATAAAAATAATAAACATATACGAGATTTAAGCTACTTAGTCTAAAGATTTATGTTTTCCTGTTATAATTTATGTTCATTCTAGAATGAAAAAGGCATAATTTATATTTAATTCCTAATTTTTTATGGTGGTTGTGAGAGCAGTCAAATCTACTGAACATGTACAGAGATTAATTACTGAAAATAACTATCTGGACATTATAAAGATTTCGCATGTGAAATTTCAAAATTTTCTGATGCATAAATGTATTTTTAATCTTAAAATGAATATTACTTTGCATGATAGATTGGCAACATGTGAAACGAAAAAAAAAAGACAAGAGAAAAACATTGCTTTACAAAACTTAAGACTTAATAAAGCATTGTAATGTTTAATGATAATCTGCCACATTTCGTTAACATTTGTTTACTAATTTGAAAGTTACAGAATGAAAACTATAACAAGCACAAAATGGTTACGAGGTCGGTCGAAAGAGTAAAGCTCTCATATATATATATATATATATATACACACACACACACACATATATATATGTATGTATATATATATATATATATATATATATATATACATACTTATGAAATTATAGTATAAATGTTCATAAATCAAGAGAAAAAAAAGGAAAACAAAATAAAGCAGAAATATAATGTTTAATACTTAACCCTTTTGCAACAAGACATTTTGTATTCCCAGGAACTAGGTATTACTGGAAAATTTGTTGAAATACTGTACATTTTACAAAAGAAGGGCCCTACATGTGCCTCAAAAATATAATTTAACCACTTTGTTAAAAATGCTCATACATATTACAAAGAGCATTCATTTTTGGGAAGGAATAGACTTTACTTTCTATTTCATGCACATTCTCAATAACCTATACAAGAAACTGAACAAATTTTATGTAAAACAAAATATTCCTTGTAGAAAGCCTTTATCAAAGTGCACCCATATGATCCCTGGGAATAGAAATACAGCCATATCAAGTATGCCTCTATGGTAAAGCAAAGGGTTAATGATGATCAAATAATTAATGATAAAATGTGTATATATATATATACACCTTTCTTATTTGAGATGGAATTCAGCCTTGAATTTGTCCTGGCTTTAATCATTTATAATACAGATAACATTACTTAGAGTGCCTCAAAAATATAATTTAACCACTTTGTTAAAATTGCTCATACATATTACAAAGAGCATTCATTTTTGGGGAAGGAATAGACATTACTTTCTATTTCATGCACATTCACAATAACCTATACAAGAAACTGAACAAATCTTATGTAAAAGAAAAAATTTAGTTTTTATACAGGATGGCAAGCAAAAAACATACCCATGTGATGGCGATGGAGAATTATTGATACAGTTGGGCGTCCAAGCATACGCCAATTAGATCTAAGAAAACTTATGTCTGAACGCAATGTGTTAGCCATAAGTTCAATGTCATTCATAATGTAGAAGTCCTCTCGATCTAAGTTCTATAAACAAAAGTGAAATGAAACCAAACAAAAGAGGAAAATATGGAAACTAAAAGTAAAAAATACCAACAAGCCAGATAATAAAAAATAAATAAACCAGAGTGTAATGCAATAAAAATACTTACACAAGGATTCACATTGAAATAAGCAACTAAAATGCTAATATTTTTAAATATGCAAGAATTGGTGTTTTTTATTAAATAAATAAAAGTAGTGACATCAATTAGTGAATATATAACAAACTAAAAGTACTCATCAGTTTTCGAGAGCTGGACTGCAAAAATGTATACAAAAGTACAAATAGGAAATGTGACCAACAACACTGAGAAGACAAATATTTTGAAGGCCTTGTTTTAAAGTACGTATTAGTATTTTGGTGAAGTGGATAATAAAAAATGCAAAATTATCCATGTTATTGACCAAAGATTAGATAAAGTATATGCATTTAAGCCAAAATCCATGAGGTAGGCACTTTTATAACGCACACTGAGCACCCACCTAGAATACTTCTCCTAATAGGAAGAATAACTATGGGCCGTCCCAGCATATGCCAACTAGTCTTGAGAAAGGAGATCTCTGTCTTGAAGATGTCAATCAATAGGTGGGTGTCTGATGCTAGATAGAATCTCTGTTCATCTACATACTTTAGTGAAAGAGGGAAGAAGCAGAAGTTAGACAGCCAACAGGTTGAAACTGTGATGTAATCCAATTATAACGTCTCAAATCAAACCAGCACAGCTACATGTATAGTTTCATCCATATTCACATTTTGCAAACCCTTTTTTTAGAACCAAAAACAGTTGTACCAATCTCCTTTCATAATTTATTAACTCATAACACAGAGAACTCTATTAAAATCATGACTTTCAAGCTCTACTAAACTAATCTGTGGTGTTAAACATTTTTGTATTTTTCTAGATCATCTTTAAAAAAGGACAATTATATTTAAATATTATACACTCAAGTTCTGCCAAACCCTCTTTTTCTTATATTAATATATATGGTATCAAACATCAAAATCTTTCTAATCTCTTATAATAAAGCCTGTATTAAAATTTACACATTCTGCCAAACTCCTTTATTAAACAGATATTCATGGTGTGAAATCATCACCACACACTGAAATTATCCTTAAAAGTTATACTAACATTGGCCCACATTCATAATATGTTAAACTCTCCTGAAAGCAGAAACTTGCTAAACCCTTTCAAGAAAGTGTATATCTATTAACTAGAGTTTTAAAAGAAATTTTACATGGTGAGAAATGATTCATTAAAAAAAAAGTGTAATTATCTTCTCCAACTACTGTACTTTTTTTTTATTAGGTTAAACTTAGGTGAGTTGTGGTAAGATTTTTCAGAAGAGAAAGGATGTGACCATAAAAAAGCATGGAATCCCAGAATGGATAGAACTAGAAGCTGATAGGAAAGTGGACTGAAGCACAAATAAGCATACCCAAGGATATAAGCTGATGGTTGCCAAAATGTATGTTTGTTGGAACAATGGAGTCCAATATTTAATTAATTCAGTTTTCTAGTTTCTGTTAAATTTGGGCTTTTTATTTCAAAAAATCTACATGTAGAGGCAATGGCTTATCTACACACGTGTATAACTGTTTCAATTATTTGTCTTTATTGGTATTGTATCCAAGTGTTCACATTAGTTTCCTAATTATAAATACACAACCATTATTTTAATTGTAATGACAGAATTTTATTTCATAAACTAAAACAGTGTTTATGTTCATAATTACTGGAAGAAAATATAGTGAATCACTGAATAAGGTTCATTATGGCAAAAAATTTCCTATCATCAGATTAAGAAAAAACTAAATTCAACTAACTAATTAGAAATAAAATACAAAATCCAAGATTTAAATTACAGGATCTATTGAGGCTCCTCTCCTGTGCAATAGGCCCAATACAAACAAATACACATCTCATGTGTATCTAAGTCTACATTTTCAAAAGTTGTTAATCATTCTTGAAGAATTGTAACATTAAGAAATGAGAAATTCATGGGTAATTCCCATTTAGGTTTATTTGAAGTAAATGTCAATGGTTCAAAATTCCCAGTGTATAAACACAGAAGGTTGTTTCATATCAGAAACATACAGTTTAACATTATCTTGAATTAATAAGTATAAACACATTATATTCTCTTCAAAGCATGCAACTAAAGATCTTTTTAAGGGGTGTTGCAAAATAAATCACACTTTTTTCCCCCGAGAGCATAACATAATAAAATTTTAATTCAATCAAAAAAGTAATTCCAAGTATCAATATTGCTTGATTGGGCCATAGTTGTTCTCATGCACAAGCTTTAATTGATTTGCAAAAGATTTCAGCAATGCAACAAACATGTCTGTTTTTGTGGCTGTCCTGTGAGCACATCAGTGAGAACACGAATCAAGGTTTCACGTTTGTATCTCTCGCATTCAGGTAAAGTTTCCAACATTTCTTCTGTACATTGTTGAACGAAAGCTCTGACTTGAATTCTCAGAGCATGTCTGCGACTAGTTTCTGAGCCATCCTGAAGGCAGTACATGCGACACGTACCTGATGATGCCTTTATAGGCGAAACCATAGTCATAATAAATTATGTATTTGTGAAATGTACAATTGTCTTGTTTTTCCTCAACTCTTAGTTTCCGCTTCTATATCATATATTGCAACAGAAATCATTGAATCAATGTAACCATGCTTGTATATGAACATTTGATTACATTACGTAAAAATTTTCCCCTTGATGTTCAAATAACCAGCCAAATACTTTAAAATACCTTGAAAAACAGCTCTTGACTGTAATCAACAATATTCAAGTCACTACATGAATACTGAAATATTACTCACCTGGGGAGTAAAGGCAAAGATCCTGTCTTGTAATGTGTACAGTTTGCTAGTACTTAGAAGTCCTACATCACGAGACTGCCGACCTGACAGGTTCATCTTTTTGTTTCTTCCTGTTTGAATAAAGTTTGGAATATTAAGTTTTATCCCTTTCTTCTATACATTTATAAGAATTTACACACTTACATATTTATAATCAGAGCTGTGTATAGCATCTATACGTTTATAGGAGCAACTAGAAGATCTACACTACATTTGAAAATTCATTTTGATTGCATATAGCGTCACTCCATTTTTCATTTATGCAAAGCTCTAATCACTAAAATTTTAATATAAAATATAAATAATAATAATTTTGAATATATATATAAAACTATTATATATAATATTATATATACTGTTTCGTCCTTAATTAGGCTCACCTATGCTACCTGACATATTCAGCTGATTTGATCTGCAGCAATGGTTTGCCAGTTATCCATGACATAATATATATATATACACCTGGAAAAAAG